AACGTCTAATGTTAGAATTGTGCCGCAAAATTCACCCAGGGCTAATATTCACCTCGAGAACGATACGAAGCTTCGGGAATTTCTCGTTTAGCCTCTTCAAAGTGGGCAGAAACAGCTCTTCAAGCGAGATATTGTCTGTAGGTACAGTCCCCGGCACCTCCCCGTGTAAGTTTAGCACAATACCGTGCTCCTCCATTGCTGCGAATGTGGGCGTGTAGGCCTCGACAAAGTCGCCGGCGACGCCTGATTCCGAGTTTGTCGTAACGCCTATCTCGACATTAATACAACAAGCTCTAATTGTTGCGGATTATGTCAATTATAGCTTACCTTGGGGGTATAGTTTGACCCCTGCAATACCGGCCTTTGCAGCTTCAGCGATTACATCAGGAGTAACAGAGGGGTGAAGCTAATTATCGTCGGTTAACTATGCCCTCTAAACTATACTATGAGTGACGCACATAGAGAGACATTAGATAGTTGACTTGAGGCTCGATGGCTTGCAGACAAGATTTATACTCCAGAGCAGCAGCCACACTTGTAATGGGCGGTTGTAAGTTTGGCTATTAGCAACAATTAGTCTCAACATTGAAGTAGACTATATGTGCATTCTATTTTGTTACATACCATGACAAACACGGTGTCTACACCTCCTCTCAGAATGTAAGGGACCACCAGGTTCATAACCTGAACAAGTCAGTTCACATTAGTCCAGTCAAAACACTTGATAGACACAAACCTCGCCCTGTCGCAAGTGGACATGCATGTCTGCAGTTGGCGGTAGTTCCAGCCGATGCACATCCTGGAGCCTCATCTTGACAGTCGAGACGCAAAATAAAGCTCTCGAACAGAGTGAGAGTTTCTTGTGGCTTATTAGAGCTAATGGCGTCCTTATTGCTGGGTGATGCTTCGGGTCTTTGGATCTAGCTGATAAGGGTGTTGAGGAGGGGCAGCAAAGGTTTGCGGTTTAGCACGTGATTCTGCTTCAGCCCCTGGCGCAGCGAACCTACCTGGCACTTGACTATCTAGTAAATACTCAGTGCGCCGTCAACCAATGATGATTTAAATACTTCATCTTTAAGTTCTTAGTTCCTCATCTTAGGTGCTATTCATTTCAACAGTCCTCATTATCTGAGAAATTTTATGCGTAAGTGACACGACGCAGTTTTGTTTGATGCCAGCAGAAAACGGTGAGAAACAGAAACAGAAAAAGGCAATCGTAAATAGGTGTTGGCAACTGGCCGGGCCATTGCCAGGGTAGCTGGTGCGTGTAGTACAGTTGTGTCTGTGTGGAACAAAGGGGTAGTAAATGGTGTTTGCCTATCTCTTTATACAATGCAGGTTGGCGTTGCCAGAGAATGGCTGCCCGGGCCAACTGTACTATAATCTCTATGTATATAGCCCGCAGCACATACCCAACTAACTTTGCAGTCCATCATTAATAGAAGAACTATAACGGGATTGCACCAAAACACCGAGCCAACAGTATCGTGACCTTGCATTTCACAATAGGTATAATATACCAAGGCAGTCAGGTAGATGATTTAAACATACCTATGTCGATCCAGTGCAACAAGATTGGTACGATTTCGTAAGTTTTAATAGCAAAGAATTCTTTTACTTCAGGTAACTACCTCTTGTGCAAACAATGTGTTACAGAGAATATATTTGTTACAAGTGCTACGTAGCATTGTGTCAATCATCTATTGTTAGCAGATTTAATCTTTCTCGTGCCAAGGTTTCTACTCCGGCTGCTTGATGTTGTCTCACATAATTCCCTTCAATCGTAATTTGTAGTCAATATCGGATATTACGTGATTACGATCCTTTACTAACAACATGCCTAGCTACGACAGCTCTTTTTAGGTTACCGCAGTGTTAATATTTGCTTCGAATAAGGCAACGGGGTGACTAGAAGCACATTCTAAATGCCTCTGGCTTAAGACAAATGATGTCAGTCGAAGATCTGATTTAATGGACACGAAATAAATTAGTCTCGGGTTTGAAACCCCCCAGGTGAGGAAGGGAATTTAGAGGGGTTTGGCGGGGCTTGGAGGGGTTAAAATATCAGATAGAGGGGCATGAGCAACTGGATATCTTCATATTACCGGGTCAGTCACCGGGGAACGGCACTGGAGTGTTACCTGCTTACCTAGTTCAGCCGAAACGGGCCTATCATTGGACATTAGGCTACTAGAATAGGGCTTCTTTTTCTCTCGGCTGACTGGCTAGCTCGCAACATCATCAGTCCCTCCAAGTGCCCCACTCCACCATCAAACTTAGGTACCTAGTATCCCGTGTCGCGCTACATCTCCGTGGCCGGCTAGTCTTGAAATTGTTCGTCATTTCTCCTGCGGCTTTTCTTTGGCCGTTCGCAGTCATAAATCGCATCATTTTATCACGGCTGGTTAACGGCAGTGAATCGTTCTCTCGCTATGGCTTCCATGATTCTCGGCTCTCAATGGGGTGAGTGTCTTATCGCTATCTAACCTTATATTTGCTTTCAATGTTGGCGTATATGGGGTATATACATGGAGGGGGAGTGAGCTGATAGGGCCACTGAAGCCGGCACGTCACTTGCAAACTGGATCTGGAAATAACTGAACTCGTGTACAGGAGACGAAGGCGTATGTTAACGCTTACGCCCAGTTCAACCCCGTCTTTCTGTGAGGTATGATATTGACTGTTTGTTATACAGAAGGGCAAATTGACAGACAATCTTCTGGCAACCAACTCATTTGACATCTGCGCACGTGCAGCAGGTGGCCACAATGCCGGCCATTCGATCCAGTACGGGCAATGTGATATCATCAGCATGTTTAGACAGATCTCTGCTGACCACGGTCCCTTTATAGCACGGGAACTCAGAAATTCTCCTTCCATCTTTTGCCGTCTGGCTTGGTCAGCCCAAGCACTGACAATCTGATTGGATCGGGTGTTGTTTTCAATGTCGATGCCTTCTTTGGAGAGCTGGCCGACCTTGACGCCAAGGGTGTGCCGGACGTCCACAAGCGTATTCATGTCAGCTCGCGGTGTCACTTGAATCTTACCCTGCACGCCGCTATCGATGGGCTCTCTGAACAGGCGCTCGGGAAGAGTCAGATCGGAACCACCAAGCGAGGTATCGGCCCATCCTATAGCACGAAAGCTGCTAGAGATGGTATGAGGATTGATGACATCTACTATGATGACTTCGCAGATAAATTACGCACCCTGGAAAAGGGCTATCGTGCGCGATATGGCGATCTTCTCAAGTACAATGTTGAGGAAGAGATCCAGAAATTTGTAGACATCAGAGAAAAGCTACGACCATACATCGTTGATGCTGTAGAGTACATGAAGGTTGCACAAGAACAAAAGCGCTCGATTCTCATCGAGGGCTCCCAGGCTTTGAGTATGTCAAAGTCTACCTACCAGAGAATATTTGACTAACTGGCCGTAGTGCTTGATCTCGACTACGGCAGCTACCCTTTTGTTACATCGTCGAATTGCTCAGTTGGTGGGTGCATTCAGGGCCTGGCGATCAGCCCCTTTAACATCAGGTAAGCTCTTCTTCTTTCACCGTCGCCCCACCAAAGCAGACATCACTGGTGTCTTAATACATTCTCGGCGCCATCAAGCTTATTTAGACTTCATAGGGACATCATTGGTGTTGTCAAGGCATACGTAAGTTCGGTTAAAACATGCTTAATCCGGTCTGAGTCATTCTAAGCCAGTGGACTTGATAGACAACCCGGGTTGGTGGCGGTCCTTTCCCCACGGAAGAACACGGAGAGGTAGGCACGAAACTGCAGGACATTGGCGGAGAGATTGTAAGTCGCCCATAAATATCCATCTCTATATTTCGTAGACCGAGACTAAAACTTCGTAGGGTGTCTCTACTGGTAGAAGGAGGAGATGCGGCTGGCTCGACCTTGTGGTTCTCAAATACTCCGCTGCCGTCAATTGTAAGTGGTCTAATGCTGCGGCATAACTCTAATATCTCGATACTAATGTACTTTTCGTAGACTATACTACCCTTAACTTAACCAAGCGTAAGAGCATTTATATTGTACCTTACAACATGATGAAACGGCTTGCTAAGATATTTAGTTGATGTGCTGGATACGTTCCCAACCATTCGAGTCGCCGTGGCATATATTACGCCAGATGGAAAAAAGATCACTAGCTTCCCTGCTGACTTGAACTTCGTACGTATAGACGCCTATATTCAATTCCCCGGAAGCTTATCTATTCTCTAGCTCGCGAAATGTACGCCTGAGTATATTGATTTCGAAGGCTGGCAGAGCTCCACGCAGGGACTGCGGAAATGGTCCGATTTACCACCACAAGCCCAGAAATACATCGAGCTCATCGAGTCAGAGCTTGGCATCAAGGTACATTCACAGCCTTCCATTCACTTTCGCATTTACTAACACGCATAGGTGGGTTATATCGGTACTGGAAAGGACCGTGAGGACATGATCATCCGGTAAAAGTCAGTATTACCGAGCAACTTGGCCTGGGCTTAGAGGGATGGAAAAAGGAGTTCGGAGGATAGAGGAGATGGTTCAAGACTTGGTTCATGAGCTTGCGCCTGTCTATTGTCATACATTCTCGGGTCGTATTATTGGAACATTCTTATCACCCAGTCATCGTAACTGAGCTGATGACTGGTGACTTGATATTTTGTCTCTGTCAACCGAAACACAGGCTAAGCTAAGAACCCAAAAGTACACGTTAGCAATAGAAATAAAGGCTTGGAAACGGATGCTATGTGTGTTCTCAATCAGATAACTATTTATGTTATACAAGTTTCAGCTAAGACTTTCTATCTAATCTGTGTGGTATTTCCACATGAATACGCCACCTGGTGAATACTCGGTCAAAAGTTATATTCATCTCTGATGATCGGAGACATGAACTAGACCCAGGGAAGGGAGTGTTTCTTCCTGTAAGTAGAAATAATTTATCAAGAAAATAAAATAAAATATCTGTACACTAGATAAACAAAAAAGCAATGACTCTCGATCGGGGAATCGAACCCCGGCCACCTGCGGCTTGTTGCCATGATTGCTATGTCCCACTATCGTGGATTCTAGATCATTTGAGTGACAATGACAAGCAGGTATCCTTACCACTAGACCAATCAAGATTAGGTGAAGTTTAGTTGTAATGGGGGCTAGGTATACGGAAAATTAGGGCCGAGTGGAGTTTGTGGGTAACGACGAGGGAGTGGTAGTCTAGCTACCAAGGTTAGACTCATTGAGGATCTGAAAACCAAACAACAGGTGATACAAATGAATCTCGGCCGACGGCGACTCATTTTGACACGCCAATGCCAAAATCTTTCATTCATTATCTACTGTACACCTCGAGAGTGAATTATTATCTTTTGTGCTGACATAAAGGACCTCTTTGTCCGACCTTGATAGATACATAGAATTGTTCAAGGGGTTGGGATCTATGGAACAATAACTGAAATGGGTGCTTAGTGCCATGGTTTGAGCCAAACTTGCATTGTTTAAATAAGTTACAACCAGTATTTAGGCGAAATTAAGATATAAATAAGTCCACGGCCCAAACTCAGTGCTTCAAGTTTGGAATCACTAACTACCACTTGAAATCACCAAGGCTACCTTGATTACTCCCAAAACTACGCTCAGGGAGACAGAGAAGCGCTGAAAAATCAAAATGTGCAGAGGTTCAAGAGCAGAAATGCTCTGCGGGCATGTAGATACTCACTTCAGCTCGCCTTGCGGGAAGAAGTGTTCTAGTCCTCAAGGTGTTACCAGATACCTTGACAAGCTATGCCCGCGCTGTGATCCCGAAAACACAAAGGAGAAACGGAAGGCTCGAACCGCGGAGCTAATGTCACAGCTGAGACACGGAGAAAATCAAGCCGAGATCGAAAATCTCACTGAGCGCGGGAACCAGTTGAATGTGAGTATGCGACATGGTATTGCTGAGGCGCGACACATGATGTTCGGAGCTTCAGACTCCTCCGAATCTCCTCTATCGCCTGTTGTAGAGCATAAAACCTGCACCGCCGGACGGTCGTGGGGCGCCAGGCCTAGTAGTCGAAGTGGGAAAGCCCCCTGGGACCCTGACTCAGACTCCGAGTCCGACGATGGACGACGCGACACGAGCTATCTCACGGGGGACGGGAAACAGGTCGTCCAAAAGCAGTATAAACTGATCAGCGGCCATTGGGCTCTGATTGCGTATCGCAAGGAACTACACGAGGTCGACCCCTACCTACTGGCTAAGCTACGGGATAAAAGGAAAAGGGAGCTAGCGAAGGTTGAGGCGAAAGAGAGAAAGAGAGAGGAAAAGAGACCGACAAGGCATGGTGAGGACAAAAACATTATCACCAATAACGAGGAAGATTCAAAGATTCATCACGAGGCTTTTGTGAGGAGTGAGAAAAAGGCAGTAGAAAAGTGGCGGGGCGTATCCCGAGCTCCAAAGCCCGTGGCTCAATCCCGAGAGAAAAGCTCCGAGCCCAGTTCGCCTAGGGGTTCGCGCGGCATCTCCGCCGGGGAGCAACAAGGGAAGAAAAAGACCCCTCAAAAATCCAAAGGAAGAATTCACGAAGAAAGGTATGAAACCCGCGCGCCACTGGTAGAACCCGAAACCCAGAAGACGCATAAGTACAAGTCTTCGGCATCACCCTATCCGCCGGATTCATTCAGGGCGCGGGCAGTAAAAGATGGTTTCCATCCAACCGTACAACAATGGGGCGTGGGCAGCGAAGAATATGAACGAGAGCCTGTACAAGCCGAGAGCTCGGGAGACCCGGTAGCCCGTCGGGATTTGAGAGGGATCAAAAGACGTACTCGGGTGGGAAAGTTTGCCGAGGATATAACTTACAGTTCAACCGACTCTAGTAGTGATGCTGACAGTGTCGTCACAGTACTCAAGATCCCCGTACATCAGTCCGGGAAGAAGAGTGGTAAGTCTACGGGTTATGGCGAGAGTCGAAGCCAGACTCACGTGGTTGGGGGTGAAGAGGATCTGGATATGTGGCACAAAATTGCTGATGAAGAATGACAGAGGTGAGATGATACCACAAGAGTGAGGTATAATCTTACGCCAGTTCTCAACAAAATGGTAGGTTAGATTACAGATGTAGTAAACCCGAAGAGCCCTATCACCTAGTTTAAATCTAGTAGAATTCCGATACGAACATAAAATATATCTCCTAATTGTCTTATGTATGCCCGCAACTTTTCACCCTTCTATGACTTCCCACCCAAGTTGAATCCGTCCGGGAGCTCTACCCGTCCCAATCTCTGGGCTATGTTCGTCGAATCCACCGCACCCGACGGCCCATCGACTTCACCTTTATCAGTTCTGGAATCCAGGATATCCCTTTTCGCTTTATTGTACTCCTTGATGCGTGCTGTTGCCAACCTTCCAGGTCTTCGGCGGTCCGTTGGACACCGTAGGAGAGGCACCTGTATAATGGCAGCAAAGACGTCGAATACCTTATCTACCGGCACGTTATGTCTCTTCGCAACTTCTTCGAAGGGGAACTTCTCTTGACATGTCTCGGCTACGTCAACTATCAAGTTAGGAGAGGGTTTGCGGTATGTGGGTTGAATAAGAGAGGCGGGTGGTTTTATGGGACTCGAGGTCGCACTAGCGTCGGCGGCAGTATTCTTGAGCTGACTTATCTGAGGTGATTCTGTTTTTCTGGGTTGTTCAGAGGTAGTCTGTTTGTCTTTCTCGGCTCCCTTCTGTTGTTGGGGAGTTGATTGTTGGGGTGGGACCTGAGATGGCGGATGAGACGATAGAGGCACGAGGGGGTTTCCATTGACTGGTATCATCACTGGTGCAAAATTTGAGCCATATTGATGTACATTACCCGTAGGCATGGTCAACATTTGGGGGTGTATGTGTTGACCATAGGACGTGTGGTAGTGCAATTGTGGCATGAAGTGATGAGGGAGAGCTGCGTTTACCATGGGGAAGCCCTGTACTCGTGAAAGTTGGGCCTGATGTCTGAGCCGGGAACAAACCAGACATGGCTGTTTCTGCGATTGAGTTGAGCTGTTATGGTGATGGTGATTTTCCAGCAATCTTGGGCTACTCCCCGAAGGTGCACCACGGGAAACTTCAAGACATGGCAAAGTAAGGGGTGGCGGAGGAGGGGGCATTAGAGTACTCTTCGAATCCGCCGTGTTACCATGTTCGGAGGAAGTTGGAGTACTATGGCCGTTTGAACTGCTAGGTACCGTCAACATGCGAGTTTGATGAGTATCAAATGTAGTATTCGCAAGCTCCGATGTCATTGCTGGCTTCTCAACTTGGCAGGGTGTTGTATGTCTAGAGCTTTGGCAGCCTATTGGGTTGCTTGAGGGCTTTACAGATCCAAATGCTCCAGATACACGTTGGCCAGTTTGTATACCAAGCATTTCTGGAGAAATCGTTGATGGCATCTGTTTCGGTGAGAGTTCGGGAGGACTCGGTGGCCGAGGCTTACGGAAGGGCTGGTCAAGAACGAAATTCTCCAGTACCGGCATGGACACACCCCTTAAGGCATATGTGAGTTCCATCGCTTGTATGTCGGATGGTAAACCGACCATTCCTGTACTCAGTCGTCTTTCTGTATCCCTCGGGTCGCTGCTAGGCATTTGTGTGGCTGCCAGAGAAAGATTTGAAACAACATCACAAGCAGCAGCAGGATCGATAGTAAGAGGAGTCACTGGCTGCTGAGGCACAGATATTGCAGGCTTCTTCTCGCTGATTCTGCGTCTCTTTACAGGTTTCTCTGAGATGAACTGGATATCATCGTCATCTTCAACCGGTCGTTTCGATGGAGTTACAGCAGTGCTGAGTGGATGCTGATAAGCATGATCCCGACCTGGCCCATGTAACAGACCTGGCGGGATTAAGCCTGGATCCTGACGACTGAAGTATGTTGGCATCATGTTGACAAATTGTATAGGGGCAACAGTCATACAACAGTCAATGTGACGGGTTGGATATGATCATAGTTTCCGATCATGGGAAGTAGAGAAAGCGCCCAGACTATTCATATCAGCATATGAGGTTCTTCTACCAGTGAGCTAACACATGAAAAGCTTGGGGTTCAAAAGAAACTTAACATCTGTTTCTCTGTAGTGCAGTTGTGTCTTTCACATATATGCGGGCCATTATAGCCCATAAAAGCCAGAGCAAAGCAAACTATCACATCAGCTCAAGAAAGCTTTGCTATTTGCTGCGCAGAGGAACAACGTGGGGGTTTAAGGTGGTCAATCAGCACTGGTGCATGGGATGGCACCGCCATTGCGGATGTTCTTGTTCTTGTTCTTGTTCTAGAACGAATATACTCAGGGAATGGAGAAAATGGCAACTGGGATGGTCAATAAGAGAAAGTGTACAAGCACTTGTAGTGTACACTGTTTTAAGGTACCTAACTATTTGTGGAATAGAAACTTAAAACGTCACCCAAAGAGCCGTGCTAGTACCTATGGCTGTGACAAGCACATATTTGCTCGTGTTCAACCAAGCATGTGAAGTCATGTTCACAAGGCATGTGTCTGTTGGAGATGTCCAAGAGAGAACAATGCACAGAGCACTTTGACAGGAAGACCCTTCCAAGTTATATGTACTGGTATTCCCCTAGGTACATATATGGATACCTTAAGTAACTCTTCACAATTTCGGTAATACATGTAGCATTGAAATGCAGCAAGGTACTTACCTAGGTACATGCATGTAGGGAGGTACTGACAGCAGTGCTACCGCGGGGCATTGCCCCACCAATCCAACAGTATGACAGCTCCAACTGCCACAGCCCGTGAACAAGACCATCCCTCAAGTGCCTGCCTATCTCACAGTACAGTAGGTAGATCAATTCAACAACCCAAGTAAAAACAGTGCTTGGGTTTGGTTTTAAAGCTTCTTTGATTTCGGCTGTGTCCCTCTCCAGCTCCGCATCGTGTATCAGCTATCAGCAAACATGGAGACCGCTGGAGGAAATCCGCTTCTATCGACCCAGAAGTCCTCCGACTCAGGGCTGCAAGCAGTTCTGCATCCTCTCGTCCTCCTCACCATCTCCGATTACATCACGCGCCACACCCTCAGAGAACAGTCCGGTCCCATTGTTGGTGCACTGATAGGGCAGCAGAATGGCCGCGAAATCAC